CGGGATGGAAGGTTAAGTCCGGAGCAGCAGCAGCCGCCCGCCCGGCCCCATCCTCGTCCCCGGTGCGCCGCAGCCTGGTGACTCGCTCTCTCTCTTTGGCATTTGAAGGGAGCGCAGTGACTGTCCTTGAGCGCGGAGGGGCGAGCTCGCCTCGGCAGCGCGGGAGCAAGAGGCGGCGCAGGAGCGGCGGCAGCGGCAACCCAGCACCCGAGGGGGTCCGAGCCCCGGCAGCCGGCCAGCCCCGCGCCACAAAGGGAGCGCCCCCGCCACCCAGCACGCCGCCTTCCTCCCCAATGTCCTCGGCCATCGAGAGGAAGAGCCTGGACCCGTCTGAGTAAGTGTGGCGCTCCTGCCCCTGTCACCCACAGTGTGCACGGCCTCGGGATCTGGGGCGCTGGGGTGGCGCGGACAGCCCTCGAGGGGGCTCCAGGTGCGCGCCCGCCTCGTGCCCTTGGCTCCCTGGGCTTTGCGCAGGACTCCCCCTTCCTCGCGGGGTGGCTCCGGGGACCCATGGAGAGGCGCTGGGCAAAGGATGATGGAGAAAGGAGGCGTCTGGCCTGGCACCTCCCCGACCCCCCGCCTCCCGCTGCCCAGGATGCTCTCTAAGCGGCCTTGGGCCAGAAAGTTTGCACAGGAGCGGGCACGACGGGTGTCAAGCGCTGGTGCGGTCTGGGGAGCGTCCTGGTTTTATTACCCCCCCACCCCCTTCTCTTGCCTCCTTCTAGCCCCCGTCTCGCTTTGTCCATTTGATTCCCGAAAGAGGGGTGTTTCAAGTGGAGCTCTCAGGGAGCCCCAAGAGCCCTCTTCAGGTCAGTAGGTGGAGCGACCGCCCTCAGCTCCAGTGGCCCGCGGGTGAAAGGTCCAAGCGACCACCTAGAATCTAGCTCTGGCCTCCGGAGACTCCTAAACCACCAAATCCAGAGTTAATCTGGATTCCTGTCACCACTCCTTCCCCAAGTCTACCGACAAGGTTGAGGGGGCAGTCGCCAAACACCAAAAGCTTTTGCACCATTTTGTGGTATAGGTCAATTTTTTTCTTGCAGAGACTATTCTCCAGATTTTCGTGGGAGCCTCAAAGGGGTTTGGGATCAGGGAGCTCTCCAATGAGTATTTGCTGCATCTGTTTTCTGGAAGTCCTCCTAGTTTGGAATGTTCCCCACTCCTAACCCACACCCCTCAACCCAGTCTTTGGTGTTGTCATGGAGAGAAAGGATTGTTTAAGATATCATTCCCCCCTCCCCCGTCAACACAAATATCCTTTTAAGATTCATTAGTTGTCTGGTTTTGAGAATTTTTATTCCTTTGAAGTCCCAGGCTAATCCTTTGAAGGGATTTGTTACACAGACCAAAGGAACTGGTTAATGACTTGTCCATTTGTGCTTTTAAGAGGCATTTGTTTTGTTTCGTGTGTATGGGTGTGTTCCCCCCCTTTTCCTCTTTAAAAGAACTGTGCTTTCCTGCCTAAAGCCTCCCTCCTCCAATTTCAGTCTTCCATGGTGTTTATTTACCTGGGTTTTACCCTCAGTCATCGACATAAAAGCTTAGTATGTTCTCATAAAACACAGGAAGTGCCTCTGTCCAATGAGAATATAAACATCACTATTCAATCTTGAAGGTTAAGACACTAGTTCTATAAGGAGCTAGGTTTGTATTAACAGAAATTCAGCTTCCTTAAACAAATTCTCCGGAGGAAAATAACATTCCTTTACTTGAAAGTCTATAACTATGCAAACAATGAGTTTCAACAGTGGTGTGCTCACTTTCTTACAAGCCTAGAATTACAATTTAGTCTCGAGTTTGCAGGAGACTAGGCAAGACCATAGCAATACAATAAGAGAGTGAACTGAATGAATTGCTGCCTAATGCCCTTTCGATCAGCAGAACTGAGTCACTAATCCTTTTATTAGAAGATAAATCTGGAGGTTTCGGTTCCCTGAAGGAAGTTTTCTCTTTTCAAAGTTTGTTCTTTTTCTCTGAGGCTGGAAAATTGAAGCATCCTAACCTCTGAACACCTTCTGAAGGTTGCTGAGCTCCCCCAGCCTTTGCCTCCGTCTTTGCCTCGTAAAGATGGGCTTGAACTGGAGATGGACAAGCTAATTGAGGAATTAACATAGCGTATTTTTTTTCACCCTGTCTCAGTCTCAGAATCTGCTGATAAATTATCTTAGAAATCCAGGCTAAACTAATAGTCAAGTGCATTGTACAATGTAGTCTCTGGAAGAATATAAAATATTCATTTAATGGTAAATCCCACTCAGTTATTGGTTTAGAACCGCAACCAAAGTTAATGTGATACTCATTAATTATAGAAAGATAGATGGAACCAATATCTTATCCTGTCCTTTCCTATTTCATCTTAGGCCATCGTGGTGGCTCTTTTGCTTAACATTTCAGACCAGTACCATACTAGATGCTTTATTGTGTACTTACTCAGAGCTCACTTGGGCCTTGCAATCAGCACCTCCTCATTACTGAAGGAGGCTTGCCTAGGCTTATGCCAATGAAACATTTAGTCAGAAAGACAGCCGGGATTCATGATTTTAAGCGATTTCCTCTATGATGAGCTAGAGGTGGCCCCTACTGCCTTCCTGTGGGGAACAGGAACAGTTCATTTTCATTCCAGGCGGTTTTGCACCAGCTCAGTGCAAATTCTCTTTCACAGTCGGTTGGCAGTATCAGCAGCCGGGGCATTCAGCATGGCAGCAGTGCCAGGAGCATTTCAAAAGCCCCTACAAGAGCCTGGCCTGTGGCAGGGGAAGAGATGCAATCCTCAGTTGATGCATATGAAAATGCCAAAAGTATTAGTTATTTTTTCAGGTAGCAATATGGGAGTCCTGATTCACAATCTGTAGAAACAAAGAAATAAAGAAAGTCAAGCTTCAGTGAATTTTCACACCATGTAAGGTCTCATTGTTAAACAAACAAACAAAAAATACAGTCCAGAAAACAGCAGTACACACACAACTGGCTTGCATGTCCTATCTCCTTGTTCTAAAAGGAGATAATATCCCAGACTGTCCTGATGCAGTCCTTTATCTACACACACACATGCACACACGCACACACACGCGCACATACATACACACATGCACACACATACACACACACGTACATAGTTTTAGCATGTCCTGAATATTCATGTGGAGACATGCCAGCCACCCACGGTTGTCAGAGGATAAGGAAAAGTTACCTGCGCTTCACCGTTCTTAAATTCAGTAGATGCTGAGGTCTGTGGGTACAGACCAGTTAGAACCTCATGTCACCTGGTAAATTGGTGTAAGCTAGAAATAAGAGTCAGGAGACAGATTTATACTTCCAAAGCACCCAGGGATAAACTCTTTTGGAATTTCACAGTGGGAAGTAGGTCCATTTTTAAAAAAAATAATAGTTTGCTTTTTTTTTTTTTGAAAAATAGCTTTGTCTTTAGGTTCCAAATACTGAAATTTAACTGGGTAACTGTTACACATCAACAAGTATTGGGCTTACCGGCCCCCCCATTTCCCATTTGGCTCTCAGATTATTTCTTTCACCCTCCTTGTTTTATTTTGACAAAGGTGTTTCTCTTAAAACACAAACCCAAAGTGTTCCAGTTCCTGTGAAGCAAAGTAGACAGAAGACATGATGATGTCGGAGTTTTTAATGGAAGAATGTGTATCGTTACAGATGCTCTGTTAAAAAATTGCCTGCACCACAGTTCCAGATTCTGCTTAATTGCCCTCCACTCTCCTTAAAATTATCTCTTATTGCTCGCCCCACTTCCCTTACTAAATTAGCCTCACCCAAATCAGCTTTGCTGTTGTAAAACTTCCACATGAGGGCAGAAGACAAGTGAGCTATCTAAGGTCTCTAGAAGCATGGCAGTGACCCCTGCACATCTTGGGTTTGTCCTTAAGGAATCATTCTGTATGAAGGATAGGATGAGAAATTTCCCTTGGAAAAAGCAATAAGGAGAATTTGTATTATGTCCTGATGGAGTCTTTGATTTTGAAATGAGACAGCAAGCTAAAATGATGCATCCGTTCTTGCTTCTTTCTGCTTTCACGAAGTTGGGAGGGGCATGAATTACACACTGATCCAGCAGACAGTTGATGGAGTTTTTAGGTAGTTGGCTGGCTGGGCAACAGAGGACTGGTTAAACCCAGGCAGGTTCCCTGGGGTTAGGCCACACTCGTGGGTTCTGGGTCTGGGAGAAGGAAACCGGAAGAATTGGAAAGATAGAAGCGAGTAGGGGAAAGAAAGGAGACTTGTGTGCCAAGGGGGGTGCTGGCCCCGAGCAGGGAGACAGTACAGCCGGCAGTTGCCTTGGATGCCTTTTGGAGCCCATGGTCACTTCCTAAAGGACCAGAGGCTTGGGTCTGCCTTGCTCCTGTCCTAACCCAGGCCTGGCTGGGCCTCACCACAATCTGGCCTAGAGATATGTTGGCCTGTCCCTTCTCCTTATGTCACCAGAAGGCAGTCAAGTGAGATCCCCATAATACAAGCCCCACCACAAGGCTGGCTTACCTCACAAGGGCTCCCGCTGCTCTGTGCCTGCTCTCACCGGGATGGGGATGTCCCTAATGCTTGGCCTGCTTTCCAGGGAGCCAGTGGATGAGGTGCTGCAGATCCCCCCATCCCTGCTGACATGTGGCGGCTGCCAGCAGAACATCGGGGACCGCTACTTCCTGAAGGCCATCGATCAGTACTGGCACGAGGACTGCCTCAGCTGTGACCTGTGTGGGTGCCGGCTGGGAGAGGTGGGGCGGCGCCTCTACTACAAGCTGGGCCGGAAGCTCTGTCGCAGAGACTACCTCAGGTATCTTCCCCTCACGGTCCCCAGAGGCCTCAGGAGCGACCTGAGTCAGGGTGTGGCTCCTCCAGCCCTCCCCAGAGCCATTATGCTGCCAGAATGAGGTCAGCCTTTGAGGCCCAGTCTCAGCTGCCCCATGCGGAGAAGCATTTGGCATTTCTGCCTGTTTGAGGAGCAGGTTCTCAGGGATGCATTCCTATGTGGTAAAAGTACTCATTCTTTGGGATGCCAAACCCAAACTAAACCAAAGCGGTTGCCATCGAGTCAATTCCAACTCATGGGGCCCCCTACAGGACAGAGTATATCTGCCCTGGACGGTTTCCAAGGCCATAATCTCTATGGAAGTAGGCTGCCACATCATTCTCCCATAGGGCCACTTAGTGGGTTTGAACCATCGACCTTTCTGTTAGTAGCTGACTGCTTAACCACTGTCCTGCCAGGGCTTCTTTTTGGATAGCATGAGGATGATGAGGCTGAAATTCAGAGAAGTTACTATATGTGGGGAGGGAGGAATAAGCATCACAAGAAAATGTCTTCTCTTGGAAGTTAAGGGATGGGTTCTTGTTTATGTGCTTCAAAACACACATAAAGATGATAAATACTCTTGTGTACACCAGTGTTAAGAGACGAGAAATGTTAAAAAGGAAAGCGCTCTCTCTCAGTGGAGCTCCAAGCATTTGGAAGAAAATAGGAAGGCCCTTGGCCGAGGGCAAAGGCCAGGAGTCATTTGTGGGTTTGAGTTCCGATGGCATTAACTTTCTAGCCCTGTAACCTTAGATGAGATAACTGAACCTCCCATGCCTCAATTTCCTCTACTGTAAAATGGGTATAATAATAGTATCCACCTCCAAGGTGAGAGGGCAGTGGTAGCTCAGTGGCTGCATTTTTACCTTACATGTAGGAGAAAACTCAGAATTCTAACTTACTGTCATTGAGTTGGTTCTGACTTGTAGCAAACCCCCACAGGGTTTCGGAGGGTAGAAATGGCACTAAGAAGAGACTGCCCACTTTTCTCCCAAGAAGCTGCTGGTGGATCACATCACTGGAGACACACACACAGCCTTTGAGTGAGCAGTGCAGCTCGATACAGACTGTGCCAGCATAGCTGAATGTGTGGGACTCACACAACAGAGGCAGTCTGGCAGCATAGTCGTCGGGAGTTCTGCTGCTGTTACAAAGGTGCCATCTCTTGGGTGCTTCAGGCCCACCAGTAGCAGCTCCACAGGAGAAAGATAGGCAGTTTCCTCCCATGCAGTTTACTGTCTCTGAAGATCCACTTCAGTTACGTGTTGGACTCTTTCCTTGCCGTCAAGTCAGAAGTGACTCATAGCTGACCTTCCAGTGAGTGTTTGGAGGCTGTAAACCACACAGGGGGAGGGGGGAGGTTGCTCGCCCTTCTTCAGTGGAGTAGCTGGTGGATTTGAGCCATCAGCCTTTGGGTAGGCGGCGCAACTCCCTACCCACTAAACTGCCAGAGCTCCCTATGAGTCAGCCAGCCAGGTTCAAGTTCCAGTGATTGCTGAGTTGAGTCTTGTTGTTATGTGCTGTCTAGTTGGAACTGACTGATAGCTGACCCGCCAGCGGCTTTTCGGAGGCAGTAACTCACATGGAAGGAGATTGCCCATTTTCCTTCCATGGAGCAGCTGGTGAATTTAAACTGCCTGCCTTTGGTTTGACAGTGCAGCTCCTTAATCACTAAGCCACCAGAGAAGTTCTTTGAGGTAAATCACAGTGGTAACTAACCCTGGTGATATTACCCATTTCTCTTTTCTTATGTAATGAACAGGTGCTAGAACTTGGAGGGGTGGAATAGGAACTCTGCGCACCAAGTGAGACACTAGCTGAAGACATCTCTGGTGCTTTGAGCCATACGGTCAAGCGCCATGCTTGTCGAGCACTCAGTGATGCCTTTGCTTGGAATATTCGAGCATTCCTACTTTCAGATTAGCAACTGTATAGCTGTTGCCTCTCTACCACCTTCCTGTTTTATAGGGTCTACAGAACTCACAGGGCCACCCATCTCTTGGAAGTTTCTCTAGACTTGAGTGCCCTTGGTGGCCAGGCCAGCACTTCCTTAGGGAAAAAAAGCCAACGACAAACCTGCAGGCACTTTGGTGGTGATGGAAGCTCATTTGTTTACTCAGGCTGACTGACAGAATAACCTCCCATCTTTATGTTTTTTCCAAGTTCCATGACAGAGTCCTTGCAAATTTGATGGTGCTGAGGAATTTGGTGATTTGTAATAACTTGATTATATTTTTCAGTCTTTCCCTTTCTTTTTTGAAAACACAAGGTTATAGAGCAGGGAAAATGAGAGCCCTGGGTTTGCTTGGTAACCGATTTGCCAGGCCAGTACAGAAAGCAGATGAGTAAAATGATTCCCGTTGGGCTCCCTGACTGCCTCCCTGTCAAATCATTTGAATCTTATTAAATGAAGTGCAGATCGAGTAAGGTCAGAGGGGCCCAGGCTTCTCTCTGTCTCTCTAATTTTATGGAACGTCCAAGGATACAACCAGGGCTGCCCGAGCTTGTTAATCTCTCCCATTTTAAAAAAGGAGAGGAGAGGGGGGAAAAATAGGCTGGGAGAACCCAATGTTAATTAACTTGTGTCTTGGTGACACGAAATAATTCTTCTCCCCGCTCCATTCCCAGGCAACATGTTAATTAACTCAGCGTTAGTGCAGGAGGCTCCAGCCTTCCTTTAGCATTTATATTATTATTATTATTAAAATGGGCAGCTGAAAGCTTAAGATGTGACACCTCTTGACAGAGCAGAGAGGCATGGCCTGGCTTCAAGGATGGTTCTTTAACTGGCCTGGTTTACAGGCGTTCTTAACTCACCTGCCAGTGTCATCATTAAAAGGCAAGAAAAGGGAGTGAGTGAATGGGATCCAGTCCTTCGTCCTAGGAGACTCCTCCCCAGGAGTATTCCCAGTGACCCACCACCTGTTATAAGCTTCTCAGGTATTTGGCTTCAAACAGTCATGAGACTCCACTCATGCTGAGCCTGGACCCCAATGCTATTGAGTTTTCAACATTCTAACAGTAGCTGTTGGGGTCAGTGATCACAGATCTTCTTAGATCCAATGTGTGGAGTTACCCCTACACTCACAGGACTTTACATTGGCAGCCAGAAGATCGCAGTCCCCTGACATCACAGGAGCATCAAAGCCCGGCAAGCTGGCCTCTGGTCAGGATAACCCGGTGATAGAACTCCAGAGGTCCCCATGTGGTCAGGCTCTGACTCCTCTCAGACTTGGCCTGATAATGCAGTGCTGCTTGACCTCATCTCTTTCTAACCCACGTTCCTGGCTTCCTATTCCAGTCTGTGTTCCTACCACTACAAACACACCCTTCATAACTCCTTGTACCCAAGCTTCACTTTAGCATCTGCTTCTTTACTACCCAGCTCAAGACATCAATTCTTGATGCCACAGGTTAATGCTCAAGGCAGGTGTTAAGTGCTGCTCTACTCGGACCAGTATTTGTTGTTCTGTGCTATCAAGTCAACTCCTGATCAGAGCCACTGTCTGTCCAACAGATTAAAACCTATCCCAGTGCTGCGCCAATCTCACAGTCTACTGAGCTTAAGCCCATTGCAGTCACTGTGTCAGTGTGTCTTGTTGCGTCTTCTTCTCTTTCACTGACCCTCTGCCTTTCCAAGCATGTCCTTTCCCAAGGACTGATTCCTCCTCATAACATGTCTAAAGCGTGAGAAGATCTCAAGTGCTTTGCTTCTAAGGCGCTCTCTGCCTGCTTTTCTTCCAAGACAGATTTGCTTGTTCTTTTGGCGAGCCACCATTACTTGCAGTCTTCACCATCTCCATAGTCCGAAGGCATCGTTTCTTCGGTCTTATTCATTGTCCAGCTTCTGCGTTCATAGGAAGCAACTGAGAGACTCTCAGAATGCCAGAACTGGAAGTCTCCGGTTGTCGCTGCAGATGCTGTCTCTCTTTTGGTCTCCTTGCTGGACAGTTTAAGACACAGAAACCTGATGAGAAGACACCATTTTCCAGGAAATTTAGAAATGATGCCGAGACCTAGATTTGTCCCTTAAATTTCAACCCTTTGTCATTGCCTTCATTAGCTGCCTGATGTGTCTTATAATTTACCCCCTGACATCCCTGTAATAAACTCTCTCCTTCCTTAAGGGCACACGTCACAGGCAGTTGGAGTCACACTGTGTTGTCAGTCATTTATCCCTGCCCAAACCCAAACTTAACTTACTCAACGGCCAGGAAGCGAGAACCATCTTTCTACTCTGTGACCTCCAGCGTGGTGGTTACCTACAGCTCCACCATCTGCTATACGCTGAGATCCGTGTGCTCCCCCAGTAATGAGCTTGCTCCCAGGCGGTGCTCTGAAAACACTCCACAATCTTCAAATGACAAGCAAGATGCAGAAGAAATTTGAGAGGCTTGGCTCTGAAAATGAGCTCGCTGCTCACAGACCACATCTTCTTGATTCAAATGTTTCAGAGTTTGCCAATTACCTTAATCTCTCCCAAAGCCTCTCAGAACACACTGCTTGATTCTCTGCTATTTCAAAGTGAATTAAGAACTTTGGCTGAGAACCAGCATTTACCTGGAACTGTCCTAAAGGTTTTATGTGCAAGCTACCTGTCTTAGCCATGTTACATGATGACTTCCTGCAGCCAGGCGGGGGCAGCTGGCAGAATACCTGAGGTAATCTGTGTTGGCTTAACCCTCAGCCACTGCTATGCCTCACTTGAACCTTTTAACATCCAGTGACGGTGGATGTTATGAAAAACCAAACCCATTCCCATCTGGTCAGTTCCAACTCATGGGGCAGAGTTGTGACTCCTGTTGTTGTTGTTAGGTGCTGTCAAGTCAAGTCTGACTCATAGCGACCCTGTGAACCCCAGACCTGGATCCTGTCCTGTGCCATCCTCATCATCTCTGACACACTTGAGCCCATTGCTGCCGTCACCAAGTCAGTCTATCTCAATGGGGGTCTTCCTCGCTTTTGCTGACCCTCCACTTCTCCAAGCATGACATTCCTTCCCAAGGATATCATGTTGCCTTTCTCATGTAGCAACATGTTCAAAGTAGGAGAGATAAGGCTTTGCCATCCTTGCCTCCAAGGAGCACTCCAGCTGCACCATTTCTAAAACATGCCTGTCTGTTCTGTCGGCAGTCCGTAAGATATTCAGTACTGTTCTCCAGCACCACAGTTCAGAGGCATCAGTTCATCTATCATCATTATTCACTGTCCAGCTCTCCATGCATAGCAAGTGATTGAAAAGACCATAGCCTGAATCAGGTGCACCTTAGTCTTTAAACTGGCATCATTGCTCTCAATCCCAATTCTTAGTAACCTCATACTCATAGGGCAGGACTATAATTTTCTTTCAGTTCTTTTTTCTTAATTTATTATTAATTTCAGTAAAAATTTACAGAGACTTCGGATTTCCATTCATTCATTGTTGCACTTCTCCCCCCTCCCAACCCTAGTACACTACCCTCTTGTAAAAGTAAAAAAAAAATTGTTTCATTGTTTCACAATCCCTCACCCCGGGTCCACTCCACTATACAGCCTTCGCTCTGGACTCCTGTCATGACAAAGATACCTAATCACATATCCCTTTTAAACAGTTTTCTCCCGCATCTGTTTCAATGCAGTATACATTATTTATCCCATCTTTCTCAGTCTCCCCCCACCCCAAGGTCAGTCCTGTTTTACAACAGTAGCACTATGCAGTATTTGTCCTTTTGTGACTGAGATACTTCACTCAGCATAATGTCCTCCAGGGTCACCCATTTTGAATAACATTGCACAAGTTCCTTGTTTTTCAATGCAGTGTAGTATTCCATTGTGTGAATATACCACAGCTTCTCTATCCATTCTTTTGTTGATGGACACTTAGGTTGTTTCCAACTCCTTGCTATTGTAAACAAAGCCGCAATAAACATGGGTGTGCACATTGTTACATCTTTCTCATGCAGAATGGATAGAGAGAGTGTGCAAACCATGAACATTTTGGCTAGGAGCCAAGTGCTAACCACTGCGCCACCAGGCCTCTTTGGCTGATGTTGCAATCACTGCTATTTCACAGAAATCCTGAGGACTCAAATGTTTCCCCTGGGTCGCTCATGCACTCAGGTACTTGTAACTGGTCTTGCGTTGGGGTCTTCCACTTCCATGGCTGGCGTGACTCCATCCCAGCAGGGTCAGTCTCCAGGACTGGCTTGCTTCAGGATCTCCTGGATGGATGAAAACCATGACTGCTGAGACGCACCCTCGGGGCTTCTCAGCCAGTGGGTGCCTGGTGCTGATGCTGCACAAGAACCTCTACGAGAAGTACCCTGGTGGCACAATGGTTAAGCATTCAGCTGCCGACTGAGAGGTTGGTGGTTTGAGCCTGCATGGCAGCTCCATGTGAACAAGACCTGGCCATCTGCTGCCGTGAGTACCGTCTAGAGAGCCTCATGGGGCAGTCTGTTCTGCCACATGGTGTCACAGTGAGTCAAATGTGGACTCATGGGCCCCTGAGGGCAAGAGTCTTTACAGAGCCAGATTGCCAGGCCTGTCTTCTGCAGTGCCACTGGGGTTGTTCCAGCTGGCAACTTTTAAAAAATAATCAGAATTACATTGATTTTATAGAGAAATCCCCAAATTACAAGTAGAATGGTATAACCTTGTCATTGTTACAGAGGGACCCACGGTGAGCATTGCCTGTATTTAGGATGCTGTTATGCCAAAGTGTGGATCTATAGGTATGAGAGTTCTCAACCACAGGGGGTGTATGTACATTTGAAAACGTGAAAAATACTGCCAGGTTGTTCTGACAAAGGCCATTTTGAAACAAAGATTTTACTTGATAAATGTTAATGTTGTTGTTATAGTGACTCTATGTACAACAGCCCTAAACTCTGTTCTATTCTGTCCTGTAGGAAAAGAAAAACTTTGTACTTCCTAGTAGAGTTTTTGCATTCAAAGGAAAGGCTATAGATACATGCAATGTATGTGGTGCAAATATTGGCATGGTATGATGGTTATGGAAAAGTATAAACTATGCATACTTTCTCTGAGGTCCATTTTCCTTTTGCATTACTGCAATTCTTTTGCTTTGTAATTTCAAGTTTAATGCTGTTGAGTTTGTATATGTAAACCAATTTGAATGAGAGCTCTAGTACTGTTACTGCAATCAGTGTTGATGGTATTATTGTGACATTGATAATCTTCAAATTGTGTGGACATTCTCACCTCCTTTTTAAAATGTCTTTTATGATCTGAGTGAAAGTTTACAAGACGTTGGGTTTTCATTTGATCTTTCATCGGCATTTTGTTTTTAACACTGTGGTAATGACTCCGTTCAATCACTCATCCACATCTTTTAGGTTAAGAATCAGGTGCCGAGGTCTCCATGGCAGCAGTGTGGACCGTAGGGAGTTGAACTGCTAACCCAAAGGTAGTTCCTCCCTACCCTGATGGTTTGAATCCACCTATCCATCATTGTCTTTGTGGAAAAAAGATAGACATTCTCCCCCTTTGTGATTTAGTGTTTCTGAAAGCCGCCTGGAGGGTCAGCTATGAGTCGTTTCGACGCCACAATAATGAGTTGTTTGATTTTTACTCTTGACCCTATTGCATCACCCACTTCAATATGGAAAATGGTTTGAAATAAGTGGCTTCTCAGCGGAAACTTTAGGAATGTCTGGGTTTAAATGCCAGCAGGAAAGTATCCCCCAGAGGGCCAGGAGGGTGGTGACTTCAGATGATCCATGCGGTATGGAGACCTGCAGTTTGCCCTGCATTTGTCTGAGGAGTGAATTAGGCATGAACTGTACCAGGTGTTTTCTGTCCGAGCCCTCGGTCCCTAGAGGACAATCATGTGGAGGTGGGCTTTGCTGCTTAGGAAGAGTTTGAGCCCCTCCCCCCATGGGTGGACTTAATGACGGTGGACATGCTGCAGTTTGAAGAGTCTCAGGAGGATCCCCTTTTTATTGCCTTCCTGGTCATCCCCCTCTCCACAGAGAGGCCCCGAGGGGTATACTTGAGCTCCTCGTCTAAAATGATGTTCCTCTTGGGAGGGCATCTCTCTGTGTCCTTTCCCCTTTGTCTCGAATCTCTCTCCAGAGTCTCCTGAGAGCAGAGAGGCCTGGAACAGTCAGTGGTGGGAGAGTTCTGAAGTTCAGAAAAGCCAAGAGTTACCACCAAGTAAATGCTACTGGTTACTGTTCGATGCCTCACTCACCCATACTTTCTAGACAAGACTACAAGATGACTTCCTTCCGGACCCAGCCCTTCCTAGACTCCTGACCTCCTGAAAGTCCAGCCTACTTTACAGAACCCATCCCCACGCCCTTTCTTTCAGCAAGGTCTCTGTCATCTTCTTAGTCTGTGTGTCTTTTTCCTCCTTCCCTAGACTTTTTGGTCAAGATGGTCTCTGCGCGTCTTGTGACAAGCGGATCCGTGCCTACGAGATGACAATGCGTGTGAAAGACAAAGTGTACCACCTGGAATGCTTCAAGTGTGCCGCCTGTCAGAAGCATTTCTGCGTGGGCGACAGATACCTCCTCATCAACTCTGACATAGTATGTGAACAGGACATCTACGAGTGGACTAAGATCAACGGGATGATATAGGCCACGGCCCCCAGCCTCCTGGGGGAGACGTTGGACTGCAGTCATTCTCTCCATGGAGTCTTCACTCTTAGGCACTTTGGGGATTCGTGGGTGGGGTGAGACATTTCTAAGGGGATGGGAGCCCCTGATTGGGCACTGATACAAAACAGCTAAGTCATATAGAATGCCAGGGAGTGATTTAAAAAAAAAAAAAAAAGACCAGCCCTTAGGGAGAATTTATGGCCACCATCTTTTTAAAATAACTGACATGATTAGCAGGAGGTAGGGACACTTGGGGACAAGTAGATGGGATTTCACATCTACATGATGTAAAGCCTGGGTGTGATTCTGACCCTTACAAACTCAAACTCATGGCTGTCAAGTCAGAATTAATTCATAGTTGACCCTCCAGTAGATTTTCAGAGGTGATTAATGGCCCTGGAGGAGAACGCCCATCTTTATCCCATGGAGCCGCTGGTGGATTCGAACCACCTGGGTTGGCAGCACACCCTCTTAACCACCAGGCCACCAGTGCTTCCTCTTACAAACTAGAAAGGTGCAATTGATTTCTGTCCCCCTCCCCGGCTCGTACAACAATGCTGTCCCCATCACTGTCCTCCAGAGGACTGTCCTCCAGAGGAGGGGACAGTGGGAAGAGTGGCCACCCTTTCCCCTTGGCCACCTTCCCAAGGCCTTAAGTGTTGGACCCTGGGGAACTGCATGGAGACCTAGTTCAGCTGCAAATGGAAACTGTAACTTTTAAGTAAACAATTATTTAACACAAATGTTTAAGGAATCACTGTTTTTAGACCATGTTGCTTTGAGGGATTCCACAGGTTGTTTCTATACAAATGTAAATGTTAAAAAAAAAGTTGTTCAACTATTTTATTATCTTAGATTATATCAAAGTATTTGGTGTGTGTAGTTTAAAAACAAAACAAAACACAAAACCCTGCAGACTTAATAAAAATGACAGACTGAAATGCAGTGTGGCCTGTGTGGTAATGACATACAATTTGGGATGATGGGGAAATAGGTGCCTTTTTTTTGTATCAAAAGAAAAAAGGAAATAAGCAGTGCATTTTTAGGTCGAATAAAAACCTGCCTTTATTGCTAGGGTTTAGATGAGGCAGGCACGCTTCTGTATTACTAGCAATTAGGTAACAGGCCGCCATTTAGCTCAGAGGGGTGTAGAATAATTAAATTGTTATTGTAAAGTGTGCATTTGGCTTCAGCATTGTTCAGAATGAGGGGAAGGCAAGATCATTGCCTCTGGGAAACCTGTAACCTAGAAAGGACACAAATACATAAAACAGGTTCCCTTTGGGAGGGAAGGTAATTACCTAGTTTGAAATGTGGCAAAGATGCTGAGCTTGACACTTCGATTTTCCGAGATGTGTGTCTCAGAGTATTTTATGACAAGTGGTTAAGAGGACCTCACTTCGAGGATTTAAAAGCGGGCGCCTGCCTCTGTGCCATCGTCTCTCACCCCGTCCCGCTGTGCCCATGAACTGACTCAGAGCGCCACCTGCCGGTCATCACCTCACAGCGCGCTACTTCAGCAAGGTCTCCTTGAAGGACAAACCCGAGCTGAAAGATGTTTTTCAACTTAAAACTCATTGCTGTCAAGTCGGAGTCTACTCATAGGTGACCTTCCAGTGAGTTTTCGAGAGACTGTAAGTCTCACAGGAGAAGACTGACCTTCTTTCTCCCACAGAAGCAACCTTTGGGTTAGCTGCACAACTCTCCACAGACGAAGCCGCCAGGGCTGCTTTACTCTTCATTTATTTCACGAAAACATTGAAAGATACCAAGGTACAATTAAACAAACAGTGTGGATTAACAATTGTATGTTTAATTGTTAAAACACAAAACTAGGGAATGTAAAGTTGATGTTAAGATTCCTTTTAAAGTTATTAATTAGTGTAGGGAGTTCTGATGGCCTAGGGGCAAGAAGCTGCCCTGCAATCTGAAGGCATGCGGTTCAAATCCACCAGCTGCTTCCGTGGGGAAAGGTTGGGAAATCAGCTTCCATACAATTACAATTACAGTTAACTGCCTCTGAAAGCCTGCTGGAGGGTCAGCTGTGGATTGGTTCTAATTCTACCATACACAACAACAATTATAGTGTGGGGAGTTGCACAGTTAAACCAAAGGCAGTCACAAAAGATGACCCATCTCCTCCTGTGTGATTTGTTTGCTTGTTGTTGGGTGCCATTGAGTCAAGCATGACCCACTGGGACCCTATAAACAATCGATCTGAACCCTGTCCTATCCTGTGCCCTCCTCACAATTTCTGACCCACTAGATCCCCTTGTGTCACTGCTCCAGTCCACCTGGTTGAGGGTCTTAATCTCTACCTTCCCAAGCATGATGTCCCTTTCCAAGGAATAGCCCCTCCTAGCAACATGCCCAAAGTCTGTAAGATGAAGCTTTATCATCCTTGCCTCCAAGGAGCGCTCTGGCTGCACTTTCTCTAAGACATTGCAAGTTTTTAAAATCCTGTGTGATTTACAGCCTTCGAAAACTTGAAATATGGACTCTGATTTGGTTCTGACTCAGTGGAAATGTGACAGAAAAATCTAAACTCATTGCCACTGAGTCAATGCAGCTCCTCTGTAGGATGGAGCAGAACTGCCTGCCAGAGCTTCCGAGGCTGTGATATTTCGAGAAGCAGGCTGCCGGGTCATCCTTCCAGTGGGTTTGAACTGCTGACTTTTGAGATAGTAGTCAAAATGTAACCACTCTACCACCTGGCCTCCCCTATCTCTAGAGGAGAAGAAATAAGTGAGTAATAGAGCTCTTGATCTATAGTGTTAGAAATAACTGGAAAATTTGATTGCTTAAAGTTGCTATTGAAAACTAACCTAACTATATTGCATTCAGGTTGAGGGGATTGGTGAGGTGCTCCCGAAGAGAGAAGTTTATTCTAAATGTTTCTCTACATGTAGTTTCTGAACCAGTATTATCTGGAAATTTGTTAGACACGCAGATTCCTGTGCTCCACTCTAGACCTACTGAATTATAAACTCTGACAGAAGGACTGGCCATGTTTTAATAAGCCCAGTAGTGGATTTAGGTGGTGCAGTGTCTAAGCACTTGACTCCCAACTGAAAAGTCATGGGTTCAAACCCACCAGCCACACCATGGGAGAAAGATGGGGCAGTCTGCTTCCAAAAAGACTTACAGCCTTGGAAACTGTAAGGGACAGTTCTGCTCTGTCCTATAGGGTCACCGTTAATCAGAATTGATCTGATGGCAACAGATTTTATTGGTGATTATGACTCACTCTCAGATTTGGAGACCATTCTAGTTGTTCTTCAGTCGGAAGGTAACACACTTTGTGTTGTTGATAATTTAATCACTGAGTAATCTTTCCACAGATAGAAAGACACTGCCTGTCCAGGTCACACTAAGCTACCAACATTGGCAAAGGTGGTCACGCAATCAGCTCAGGTGATTTTTGTCTCATCTGTCACAGCAATCAGTTCAATTCACCATTTTCAACCATATCAACATAATATCTTTTGGTTATGCAATTATCTGTTTAAAAAAGGTTGATTTTGGTAGGTGCCATGGAGTCGAGTACGACTTAAAGCAACAATACGAGCAAGAGGTCTGATCCTTGTCCTATCTGGTGTCTTCCTCATCCCTGACACGCTTGAGCTCATTATGCAATCACTCTGTCAAGCCATCTTGTTGAGGGTCTCTTTTTTATTGATTCTCTACCTTTCCAAGCATGATATCCCTCCTTAATGAACAGCCTCTCTTAGCAGTATGTTCAAAATATTTGAGATAAAGCTTTGTTATCTTTGCCTCCAAGGAGCACTCTGGCTACACTATTTCTAAGAAATACCTGGTTTTCTTTTGACATTCCATGGGATAGTCAATACTTTTCTCCAGCACCACCGTTCAAAGGCAGCAGCAATACTTCTGTCGTCCTAATTCACTGTCCATCTCCAAGATATATAGCAAGTGACTGAAAAGCCCGTGCCCTGATCAGGTGCTCTTTAGTCTTCAAATTGACATCATTGCTCCTTCGCAATTTGGAGATGTCCCTAACAGCAGACTTTTTGAATGCAATATGTCTCCTGATCTCCTGACTGCTGGTACTAAGGGGGTTGACTGTGGACACAAGTAAGATGAAATTGTTGGCAATTGCAATCTTTTCTCCACCTATCAAGATGATGCTTATTGGTCCAGTGGTGAGGATTTTTGTCTTCTTGATGCTGAGAAGCAATCCATATTGAAGTTTTCAGCTTTTTTATTTATTTATTTTTTCCAATTCAACACATTTTAATTTTCCCCCCCATTCATTCAATGTTGCACTTTTCTTCCCTCCCATTCCTCCCTCCCCCAGTACACTACCCTCTTGGAAAAGTAAAAGAAAAATTCTTTCATTGTTTTACAATCCCTCACCCCAGGTCCACTCCACTATATAGCCTTGACTCTGGACTCTTGTCATGACAAAAATCCCTAATAATTTTCCCACTTAAACAGTTTTTTCCCTTATCTGTTTCAATGAAGTTATTTTTTTGAATTATTTATTAGTTATTTATTGAACCCACCCTTCTCAGTCTCCTCCCAAGCCCGAGGTCAGTCTGCTTTACAACAGTGGCACCATGCAGTATGTGTCCTTTTGTGACTAAGATATTCACTCAGCATAATGTCCTCCAGGGTCACCCATTTTGAATAATATTGCATGAGTTCTTTGTTTTTCAATGCAGCATAGCATTCCATTGTGTGAATATACCACAGCTTCTCTATCCATTCATTTGTTGATGGGCACTTAGGTTGTTTCCAACTTCTTGCTATATTGTAACAAAGTCGCCGTAAACATCGGTGTGCATATATTTGCTTGGTTGTCGGTTATGGTTTCCTTGGGGTATATTTCCAGTAGTGGAATTGCTGAGTCGAATGGTATCTCTATTTGCAAATTTTTGAGAAAGCGCCATACCGCTCAGTGGTTGTACCATTTTACACTCCCACCAACAGTGAATAAAGGTTCAAGTTTCTCTACA